TGTGTTAAATATATATATTTTTGTCGAAAGTAATAATAAATAACGTAAAAGATATATAACAATCATATATGTAAATAGTAAGAAGTCAGTTTAAACGGTTTTACTTTATAAAAATTAAAAATACAAGGATATGTTATCAATAGATAAAATGTGTTAAATGTGTTGTAGTTCCACATGTGAGAAAAACCAAAACGTTTCAAAACTATTTTGTTCCATTAAAATGCTCCTCGATATGAGATACAAGATCTATTAAAATTTGTATAGGAAAAAGGTTGTTGGATAAATTTTCAATTCGGAAATAGTATGTGAATATAATTTGTAAAAAGGATAAGGGAAAGAGTGAGTTTTATATTTATACATAAAGCAAAGAACATTATAAACATTAATCTGATTAATATCTGTGAGTGAGTTTTATATTTATACATAAAGCAAAGAACATTATAAACATTAATCTGATTAATATATTAAGAATATTCATTTTAAGTGAAAGAGGACTGGCATGAGTTAAACGGTCCTTAAAGTTTACAAGAAGTGCAATATGTTTCTGTTGTAACTAGTGGGGTTGTCCCGTAATTTGTTGAAAATAACTCTACAGTTACTACTTTTGATTGTATATATTTTGTAGATAGAGCCATGATAAATGTTCATCAATAAAAAAGTTATAGTATTTTGCTTTTTAATTTGTGTATTATTTATAATAAGTTCTGGTAATTTTTAAAGAAATCTTCTTGCTTTTTTTTATTAAACAAAATATGTTTTGTTTTCTCAACGTTCAGAAAAATTTTGTTTTTTTAAATCTATTATTCATGCTTGCATATAGTTGATTTTTATTACCATAAGATTAAAAAAAAACGATTTCTATCGTCAGCAAACATGATAGAATTTAGTTATTTTGAAAATATTAAAAATATAATATAAATTATTAAAATCATTAAAATAAATTATAAACAAGCGTGGGCCATGGATCTATCCTTGAGACACACCGCATAAAATATGCAAAACTCAGAATTTCTTATTTTGCACAATTGCTTTCAGCTAGTGAGAGTTTTCATCAAATAGTTTATCAATTACCTCTTTACGTTTATCAATTACCTTTTTACGTTTTAGGTTTTCGAATACATCAACGTTAAATACATCAACTGATCAATGGCTTTCAGAACCTTAGATAAACCAACACTTCAGTAGTTAAATATTTTGTCATTTTCGTAAAAAGTATTTACAATTTTTTATGATCACTTTGCCAAGATATAACTGGTTGGTATAGCAGATAGAAAACAATATTCTCCTCAGTTAACCCCTTTTGTTTTGTTTATTTACATATTTTATTTAAAAAAATCATAAGTACAATATTTATAAATTATTTACAAATACTTTTACTTTTTTTAAAACTTTATAAAAGCCATATTGATGTCTGGTACATTTTTTATAAAAACCAATATTACGGTAAAAAGTACAATCTATAAATTATTAAGAACATTTTTATGTTATTTAAAACTATTTACAAATATCTTTATAAAATAGTTTGAAAATTGTTATAATAAAGAAACTTTTTTAAAAATAAATAGTTTTATAAAAAAAAGAAAATTGTATCAAATTGAATGTAAGTTTTGTGAAATGATCCACACCTCGTTTACAATTGTTCAAATAGTTATTATTTTTTACTCCATATTTTTAACTTTGTAAAGAAAAACATTATGGTTCACAGTATATTTGTTGCTTTTAAATTCATTTAGAATTTCCACAACTAATTTAATTATGGCATTTTTTAGTCCATAACGATTATTTTTATAAATTTGTGGTTTTAAAGGTATTTTTAGGTCTATTATGCATTGTTTGCAATATCTATTATTACTTATCTGTCTTTTGTGCGTTATTTGTTATTGAATTTATGAAAATAACGGGATTGGAAAGTAAGTCCATATTTAAATAATAATCCAATATCGCCATTATAAGCATTCGAACAAAGTTTGAGTGAAAAATTTCAAATAAAAATTAAAGAAAATTCGATGTTTGAAACTTTTATTTATTTTCTAAATACTTATATCATCAAAACCTTTTGTTTTATTGAACTAAAATCTTACTGAATTTCATTGACAAATATCTCTAGATTTCTCTTCCTCTCTAGCTCATTCAATCATTGAGAGATATCTCCAGCTCATTCATTGAGAGATATCTCTAGCTCATTCATTAACAAACCAACTTATTTAAATATTTAAAATATAATTTAAAACTTTTTTTCTTAATGCTATCTTATTAGGTAAGTTCTTTTCAATACTTATATATATATATATATATATATATATATATATATATATATATATATATATATATATATATATATATATATATATATATATATATATATATATATATATATACATATATATATATATATGTATATATATATATATATATATATATATATATATATATATATATATATATATATATATATATATATATATATATATATATATATATATATATATATATATATATATATATATATATAAGTATTGAAGTTATGTTAATATCCATGTTTTTATGTTATTTTTGAGGTTATTTAGAAATAAATCAAAACAACAAACTTTTTTTCCTTGTTTTATCTATATATTTATCATTAGAGTTTTTGTTTTACTTAGAAACTTTAGTGGCACCATTTGTATTATATGGACTTGTTCCTCACTTCAATCTTTCATTCCAATCAAATGAATATTTTTTATGTATATCAGCTTAATGTATATAACATTCTTTATGATAATAATGTATATAACGTTCTTTGCTCTATGTGTAAATAAATAACTAACACCTCCCCTTATCCTTTTTATAATTTATATTCAAATAAAAAAAAAATTTAAAAAAAAAAAAACTATCTTCAAAATGAATATTTATCCAACTACCTTTTTCGCATACAAATTTTAGTAGATTTTGCATTTCTTATCGAGGAGCTTTTTTATGGAACAAAATAATTTTGAAATATTTTGATTTTTCTCAAGATTGGAATAACAACACATTCAAACATAGTTTTATATTTTTAATTTAAAGTGAAATCCTTCAATTTAACTTCGTAGCATTTACATATATAAATATTATATATCTTTTAAGTTATTTATTTTTTGCATTCGATGAAATTTATATATATTTAACACTATATACGTAACGATGTAGCTGAAAAACAGAGCGGTTTTCGACGACAAGACCGGTCTTCTACAAGTTTACGCGTTTTTCTTATTATCAATGGATATAAGCCTAGTTGAAAAAGGTACAAAAAATATTTTCATAATTCATCAAGACCGGTCTCACGTTTGGGGCAGGGGGACAGTATTTTGGGGCTTTTTTGTTCCCAAGCTCCAATCATCGCAATTTTTTGCAAGGCTTCCTTATTTGACATAATTATAAACATATAAATATATGGAGTTTGCTCCATATCTTGAAGTTAGCTATCTCAAAGACCAAATAATGCTTTTGGCGCCCAAGCATTTATATTTCCAGTGAAATTATTGATATTTTTATTAATTTTGATAACCTGCTTAACTTTTGCTTATACATTTTATATCAAAAAATAATAAATTGAGAAGTAGTTGCTTACATTTTCATTATAAAGATTTCAGTAAAAGTAAAGATAAAAGCTTCTGTTGGAATTTTTAAAATATTTTTACTACCCTGTAATTTTATTTTTAATTTTTAAATCTGATTTTTATAAATCAACTTTTATATTTTATATTTATTGCGTAAGATTTATATTAGAATTGTTCATTTTGCAAGGATACAGAATTCATTTGTTAATGAAATGGATGACGAATTTAAATTGACAACTAGTGAAAAGGAAAAATTACTTGAGTTTAGGTTGAACCGAAGTAAAAAAATATAATACTGATGATATCGCAAAAAGCAATAGTATTTTTATTGCTTTGTCATGCAACTCAATACAAATATTATCGCCTTTGGTGACTTCATATTTACGCGAATCTGTATTTACGTCATTAGCTGCAATCAAATCGAAATATCAAGCCAGCTTAGAAGTAGAAAAAGAGTCGCAAGTAGCACTTTCCTTATTGACATGAGGTCTGATAAACTTTATACTAATAAAACAACCACACTTGTTGTATTAAAATATAGTATTCCTATAATTTATTATTGAAACTATTTTGTGTTATGAGCATACATATTTAAGCAACCGTGTTCTGGCGGTTAGAATTCTGGCCTCAAAACTGAAAATTCGTGGTTTAAGGCCGGCTATGGCCATATATATTCATTATTGGTAAGGGGTCGTCCATAAATTACGTCACGCAATTTTTGACCGTTTTTCCCCCCCCCGTCACAAAATCGTAACACTTAAGAAGCGAGTTTTGAATGAGTCGTCACAAAACCACCAACCCCCTCCCCCTTATAGCGTGACGTAATTTATGGACAACTTCTAAGGATGGAGGCATGTCTTTCTATGTAGTTACTATTCCGCGGTGCTCAATAAGACCATTAGGTCTTAATAGAGCATCTAAATAAATAATAAAATTAAAAAAAATATACATAAACATATACTGCGGTGACAAGTGGGTTGGAGTCATTTAAAGGTATTACCAATTAAAAAATAAAAAGGCTCCTTAAATTTGCAAAAGAGCCCCTAAATTTCTAAAAGAGCCGCCTAAAATTGCTAGCCTAGTATAGATATGTATACAGAGCCTAGCCACGGCTCTGTATACATATCTATCAGTAAAACATTGTTTTTTTTTTGTTAACCACATTTTTTCTCTTTGTGTATCAATAAATTATTTACCCATAAAACCCGTATATTATTTTATCAAATAAAAGGGGAAGCTCTAAGATTAACTTTATTTTAAATGGAGGCGCATTACACATTAAACATAAAGTTTGGAAACCACTGTGTATTGAAAGAGTATGTTAAAAGTGATAAACATTGTTATTAATTTCAACATTCAAAAAATTAAAGCTTAAATTTCATATCTATTTCTTTTAGCTACAAAACGTTTGATTAAACATTCTTGCTTTAATACTTTATTATTAGTTTTCTTAACGTATTACATCTACAAGTATAAATATATCTTCAAAATGGCGCTGTAAGTGCATTGATCTTCAAAAAATGGTGCTGTAAGTGCATCGATATTCAAAAAATGGCGCTGTAAGTGCATTGATCTTCCTTCTAATAGTCGTTAAGGTCATTTTAACTTTAGATTGTTCAATAAAACAAAACTCTTACCAAAAATCTAAAAATATTCAGTTTTATCAATATTACAAATTATTGCAAATCACTATTGCATGTGATTTTTAAAGTCTTAAAACAAATTTTAAATGATGTTGTATTCAAACATCTACTTAATATATTTTATCAATGTCAATACGAATTTAAAATAAATAAAAGTTCAACAGAATATGCATTACTCCAAATAACCTTTATTATTGCTTAACCTTTTTATAAATTAGAATATAGGATTATTAGGGGTGCTATAGACACCCCTAATATAGGATTATTAGGGGTGTTATAGACACCCCTAATAATCCTATAAGTTTTGATTCGATTAATTACTTGTTAAAAAATTAAGTACTATTTAATTAAACTGCTACTTAAAAGTTATTTAAGCAACCATCAGCAGTTTGTTTATAGAAGTTCAAACAAACTAACAATGCTGTTAATAGTCATTAACTAACAGTGCTGTTAATAGTCATTAAATTTGTAGTTTTGTAACAAAACTACAAGTTTAATGACTATTATGTTTTTTGATTATACTAACCTTTTTTCTCATAACAGCATTAAAACTAATTTCAATCATGAACATCAAAAACAATCAAAAGTTATAAAATGTCAAGTTGCAATATTGGAAAAAAGTACAGCTGTCGACCATCAAGTTTGACAAGTACAGCTGTCGACTATCGAGTTTGACAACTAAGATTTAGTGATTCTACTTACAATAGTAAAAATAGTTGAGACAAAAGACGTGATATTTATTTACAAGACTATGCGTATTATTCAAGAGAATCAACCGCACAAAAAATCCATCCAATTGATTACTACAACCACCAAAAACACTCTAATCATCAAAAGCGCACAACCATAGAAAATATTTTTCCCTCTGGCTCTTTGTAAAATCTTTTCTTTAATTAAGAAAAGATTTTATAAAGATAATGATTTTAGAGTAAAATATGCAATTAAAACAGGTTGCAGTAAAAAACAAATCAAAGTTACTCATTTTATCATTTTTACGTTTGACGTTGTTTTTTTTGAGATTTACTTATTTTACTGATGTTTTATATGGAAATTTTTAGGATTCGATACGCGATGACGTATTGATGACGTGAACTGATGGTCTTTTGCGAGACTCCGCGTTCTGTTTATAAAATTAAATACAAGTTTGTTTTTACTTTTTTGTTATTGTATAAAGATTTTGTTTTTATCTGTACCATCTTATTGTATAATGACGTACAAGTGAAAGAAAAAACAAACATTTTTTTTTGCTTTTTCAAACTTCGTTAAAAAATACGTCTAGACTTTTTTCATAAATATCATAAGGCAAATAGAATTAGTAAACTTAGTACTTCGCGTTATAGTTCAAATAAAACTTTGAAAACTCATCCAATTACGGTAACAGCAGTCTGTAAACAGTCCATTTACGTAAACCGTAAATAGTCCCTTTCGTTTTGATTAATAATTTTTTAAATTTTTAATAAACTTCTCTTACTATAACTTGATCTAATTTTATGCATTTATCTGAGCCGGGATTGCTCAGTAGGTTAAAGTGCTGCTTATAGTTCGGTATTATTATTGGCCGTAGCAGCAGAATTGGAGGTTCCATCTACTCAGCGTATGAGTAGTACCTTGATACGAAGGGAACTCATCTAGATTAGCTCTGCTAATACGATGTTTCCTTCTCAACTAGTAAATGAATAACCTAGTCGAGTAAATGAAAAATATCGTTTATTATCGTTTATCTTGAATATTATTAGTATTTATCGTTTATCTGTATGTTTTCATTCATCTTGGCCACTCAATAAGTTTCCATTCATCTTCATCTTCATAACTTCTTAAAATAAGTTTAAGAACATTATTAAAAGTAAAAATATAAATAAAATACATTTAAATAAAGTAAATTTAAATAATTAAGAAATGTGACACTTTACGACAAAACCAGGCTGTCTGGCGCGGAAAATTATCAAAGCAAAAAATTAAAAGAAAAAAAACTCATGCTATATATATTTCAAGCAAGTTTTTAAAAATTAAACTTTCTAGAACTTTCAAGAGCTGATGAAATTTGTTTTTAAACTTTTACAATCAGTATACAAAGATATTATCATATGTTATTGTCAAAGTTTTTATTAAGTTATTTTTAAAAGCAGTAAAATTTAAAAGAAAAAAAAGTTTTTTTTTCATAATTTTAACTAACTTGCTAACGCGACTCAAGACTTATTTTTCTTTTATTTCACTTTTTTTTTTATTTCACTTATTTTTTTGTAAATTCCATTTTAAATAGTTATTATCTTTAATAAACTATTTTTTATTTATCCAAATGATGGGAAAAAGTAAAAAAAAGCGATTTGTCTAAGGTAATTTTTATTAAGATAGTAACTGATATTTTTTAAATTTCTTTTTACGTCTTTCAAAAATTTAAACTGTTATGACTAATTCTTTATAAAATAACAAAAAATTATTCTTGATGTCGTTAAATTAAAGTATGTTTATAACTTATAGAATCAAATTAAAACAAATAAGCAATCGGAGGCCTCACATCTCCCCGATGAGTTTAACCAATTTAATTTGAAATTTCATTACAACCTAAATTTTTTTTTTCATTTTATCTTTTTTTAATTTAAAACTTTAATTAAATACAATAATCTCCAAATAACTGTAATCTCCAAGAGACGAATAAATTATTCGACTTATCGAGGGTTCGAGTTCTCGGGTGTTTACTGTACTATAAAACTAAATTCAAAATAAAACATTTTTGCTAAAGAGATTACATACAAAAAAAAGTTTTTCACAATATAGTTAAAAATAAATTATTAACACTCTTCGTTGATTTTAAGTGAGAGATGAGAAACAGCCCCAGGTCGCAAAATGTTATAAAAATACTTAGTAAATCATAAACATTCATTGCGGCTTTTTTTTTCTAATCTTTTTTTATTTTTGTTTAAAAAAAGAAAAGAAAGCAAAAAAACTTCAATTACTTCAGTTCTCTTTATTGATTTTAAGTTATTTGTTATATATTTTACCTGTATAAATTTTTAATAGCAAACCATATTAAATAATACTTAATCTTGTTTTCACAAAAATGTTGCTATTGATAAATTTAAAATAGTCTTTAATCTCGATTAAAATCTACTTCATGAATTAAACATTCTGCCTGGTTTTGTCCGTGGAGCGACAAAAGTTGTTTGTGTAAAATAAATGCTAATGTAGGTAAAAAAAAATTTTGTATTCAAATCCTCAAAAACGTTTTTGTAAACATATTTCAACACATGAATACAATATAAGTCTTTTCTCATGGAACATATAGTTCATTACGAAACCCGTGTTTTTAAGGCTAGTTCAGTCCCATCACTCTTAAAAAATAAATAAAAAAAGTATATGTTATATTAGGTTTATGAAAGCAAGCAACAGCGCAATCAAGTTTTTTTACTAATTTTAACTGTAAATAAACACACCTAAACAAGAGATTGATATGCCATTTTTATCAGAATTTTAGAGAACAACAGAGTTAAATATAAGTAGATAAGTCAAAATTTTTTTAGAGTAGTTGGATTAGAAAGTGCTAAAATTTACCATATTTTCATACTAAAATTAAGAGAACTAAAATCAAAATCAAATATTCTTAATATAAGTTAAGTGTCTCTTTCAATTAGAACAGAGAAACAGTCCTAAACACCTGCAGACATCATATCAAGCAGCTACTTTTAATTAGAATAGTCTTAAAATCCTGAAGACACCATATCAACAAAGCAAAATGAAAAAATTCCACCCACCAAGACTGAGAAAGTCAAAGTCTAACTTTTCATGTTTGTCATGTTTGTCCCCATAGTTTTATGTAACTTTAGAATTTTTATTTTTATTTTAGCGATTTAAATAAATAAGAAGTATTTTTAAAATCATAAAGCAGAAACTTTAAAACATTTAAAATCATAAAACAGAAACTTTAAAACATTTAAAATCATAAAACAGAAACTTTAAAACATTTAACAAATTTCAACAAAAAAAGAAACAAATGTGTCAATCACTAACTGTCAACTTAACAAGGCGACTTTAAAATTACCAAGATGGTTCTTTGTTAGATTTTGGTTAAAATAATATGCATTGATTTTGGAACAAATATTAATCAGTACTTTATCATGATGTCGTTCATATATCAAATGAGTAATGCTCCGATATAAGCATAAAAGTGTTGTACAGGGATGTCCGACAAACTTTGTCTTAAATCGAGTTAAAAAGTAAAAATGAAAAGAAAACCCATTGAACAGCATTATAAAAAAGGAATTAATCTAACTCAATTGAACGATTTTAGATATTGACCAAACTTTTCACAATAAGACATTGTTTTGGCATTTTGACATTGTAAACCAAATACCTACCCATCTCTCTGCTTTCTAATATAAGTAAACTCTTTGAGAAGGCAATGCATAATAGGCTATATTCTTTTCTTGAAAATTTTAAATGCTTTTACACCCATCAGTATGGATTTCGTGTCATTCACTTCACAACTCATGCTCTCATTGAAATGACTGAACTAATTAGAAAAGTACTTGAGGATAAATGTTTTGCATGTGGTGTATTTGTCGATTTACATAAAGCGTTTGACACAGTGGATCATTCAATTTTGTTAAAAAAATTAGAATATTATGGGATCAGAGGCGTAACGCTTAAATGGTTTACTACATATTTAAACAATAGAACACAATTTGTTTCTATTAATGACTCAAAATCTACCCTTGTAAAATGTTCTAATGGTGTTCCTCAGGGTTCAGTATTAGGACCACTGCTTTTTCTTCTTTATATTAATGATCTTCATACATCCATTAAGTTTGCTACAGTTTACTAATTTGCTGATGATACTAATCTAATACTAATTAATAAATTCCTTAAAAAAATTAACAAACACATTAACCATGATCTTGTCAATCTAGTTCAGTGGCTTCGCTCCAAGAAACTTTTTCTAAACTCTAATAAAACTGAGCTCATTATCTTTAAATCAAATAAAACAAAAATTTATAAACATATGAACTTTAGATTAAGTGGCAAAAAAATTGAATCAGTTAACTCAATTAAATATCTTGGTATAAAAATCGATTCAAATCTTTACTTTTTATCCCACTGTAAAGACTTAGCAATGAAACTAAGTAGATCTAATGGTACGTTGGCCAAAATTCGCCATTATGTTAATTTTGAGACGCTCTTGAACATATACCATGCTATTTTTGGCTCACATCTTAGATATGCATGCCAAGTATGGGGGCAGTCCCATCTACAAATTTTTATTAGATAATCCCACCTCCAAAACAAGGCTTTAAAAATTATTCATTTTCAAAAAATTAAATTTAACTCTAATGTGCTCTACCTAACTTCTAAAGTATTAAAACTATGTGACTATATTCAACTTTTAAACTGTTAATTTGTCTGGAACCACCAACACAATAACCTACCTTAACTTTCATTAATTTCTTTTCCAAAAGTGCCAACAATCGTCATCACCTTCGTTCCGATAGTAATTTAAACCTGTCTGTCTCTAAACACCGCTCTCATAATTAAAGCATTAAAACTTGGAACCTTCCTTATGAACTAAAAATTCTCTCAATTCTCAATTCAACTCTCAATTCATTCTCAACCTTTAAAACCAGTTTATTCTACTTTTTACTAAAAAATATAGTTAATGTTTATAATTTCTATAATCTATTTTTGTTGTCGTAATATATATATATATATATATATATATATATATATATATATATATATATATATATATATATATATATATATATATATATATATATATATATATATATATATTTTTTTTTACAGTTTCTATTCTATATTTTTTAATGATTATTGTTATTTTGTTATTTTTACTAATATTTAATATTGATAACTACTTTTAACTTTTATTATTACTAATACTAATATTGTTATTATTATTGTTATTATTATTATTGTTATTATTATTATTGTTATTATTATTATTGTTATTATTATTATTGTTATTATTAT